GACAAAACAAAGAAATACAAGAAATCCAGATTGGTAAAGAAGAAGTCAAACTATCACTATTTGCAGATGATATGATATTGTACATAAAAGACACTAAAGACTCCACTGCAAAACTACTAGAACTAATATCGGAATTCAGCAAATTTGCAGGATACAAAATTAACACACAGAAATCTGTAGCTTTTCTATACAGTAACAATGAACTAATAGAAAGAGAAATCAGGAAAACAATTCCATTCACAATAGCATCAAAAAGAATAAAAACCTAGGAATAAACCTAACCAAGGAAGTGAAAGACCTATACCCTGAAAACTACAAGACACTCTTAAGAGAAATTAAAGAGGTCACTAACAAATGGAAACTCATCCCATGCTCCTGGCTAGGAAGAATTAAAATCATCAAAATGGCCATCCTGCCCAAAGCGATATACAGATTCGATGCAATCCCTATTAAGTTACCAACAGCATTCTTCAATGAACTGGAAAAAATAGTTCATAAATTCATATGGAACCATCAAAGACCCCGAATAGCCAATGCAATCCTATGAAGGAAGAATAAAGTGGGGGAAGATCTCGCTCCCCAACTTCAAGCTCTACTACAAAGCCACAGTAATCAAGACAATTTGGTACTGGCACAAGAACAGAGCCACAGACCAGTGGAACAGAACAGATACTCCAGCCATTAACCCAAACATATATGGCCAATTAATATTCGATAAAGGGGCCATGGACATAGAATGGGGAAATGACAGTCTCTTCAACAGATGGTGCTGGCAAAACTGGACAGCTGCATATAAGAGAATGAAACTGGATCACGGTCTAACGCCATACACAAAAGTAAACTCCAAATGGATCAAAGACCTGAATGTAAGTCATGAAACCATAAAACTCTTAGAAAAAAACATAGGCAAAAATCTCATGGACATAAACAAGAGTGACTTCTTCATGAACATATCTCCCCAGGCAAGGGAAACAAAGGCAAAAGTGAACAAGTGAGACTATATCAAACTAAAAAGCTTCTGTACAGTAAAGGACACCATCAATAGAACAAAAAGGTATCCTACAGTATGGGAGAACATATTCATAAATGACAGATCCGATAAAGGATTGACATCCAAAATATATAAAGAGCCCACACGCCTCAACAAACAAAAAGCAAATATTCAAATTAAGAAATGGGCAGAAGAGCTGAATAGACAGTTCTCTGAAGAAGAAATCCTGATGGCCAACAGGCACATGAAAAGATGCTCCACATCGCTTGTCAGCAGAGAAATGCAAATTAAAACCACAATGAGATATCACCTCACACCAGTAAGGATCACCATCAACAAAAAGACAAACCACAACAAATGTTGTGAGGTTGTGGAGAAAGAGGAACCCTCCTACACTGCTGGTAGGAATGTAAACTAGTTCAACCATTGTGGAAAGCAGTATGGAGGTTCCTCAGAATGCTCAAAATAGAAATACCATTTGACCCAGGAATTCCACTTCTAGGAATTTACCCTAAGAATCCAGCACTCCAGTTTGAAAAAGACACAGATGCACCCGTATGTTTATCACTGCACTGTTTACAATAGCCAAGATGTGGAAGCAACCTAAGTGTCCATCAGTAGATGAATGGATAAAGAAGAAGTGGTACATATACACAATGGAATATTACGCAGACTTAAGAAAAAAACAGATCCTACCATTCGCAACAACATGGATGGAGCTAGAGGGTATTATGCTCAGTGAAATAAGCCAAGCGGAGAAGGACAAGTACCAAATGATTTCACTAATATGTGGAGTATAAGATCAAAGGAAAACAGAAGGAACAAAACAGAAGCAGAATCACAGAACCCAAGAATGGACTAATAGTTACCAAAGGGAAAGGGACTGGGGACGATGGGTGGGAAGGGAGGGATAAGGGCAGGGAAAAAGAAAGACGGCATTACGATTAGCATGTATAGTTTGTGGGGGACACAGGGAGGGCTGCGCAACATAGAGAAGATGAGTAGTGATTTTAGAGCATCTTACTACGCAGATGTACAGTAACTGTGAAGGGGTATCTGGGGGGACTTGGTGAAGGGGGGAACCTAGTAAACATAATGTTCTTTCTGTTATTGTAGATTAATGATACCAAAATAAAAAAAAATAAAAAATAAAAAAACTGAAGGGCTAGTGGGAACTCCAAATTTGTAGTCAGTTGGCCAGGAGTGAGGTTAACCCTAGAAAGCCCAGAGCTGTAGTCTAACTCCAGTTTGTCAGCATCAGAAATATTGCAAGTGGTCAGAGCAGAGCATGCAATTGCAGTAACTGCCTCTGGAATGAGAATAGACTGAGATAGCCAACATGGATTGGGATGACAGGGAAATCATCTTGTCTACTTGAGGTTACAAGAATTTTACCCTGCTTTCTACACATATTGTGTGTATGTATGCAGTCAAGACTTCCTGTTAAATCATGTTCAAAGAAAATGTTCAAAGAATCAAATAATCATTTGTTAATAAATATTGCAAGTATAAAAAAAAAAGAAACTGCCAAAACATTTTCCAAAGTGGCTGTACTGTTTTATATTCCCACCAACAATATGAGACTTCTTATTTCTCAGCATTCCCACCAGTACGTGCTATTGTCAATCTCTTTAACTTCAGCCATTGTGGTATGTTAGTAGTAATATCTCATTGTGGTTTTAATTTGCATTGCCTTAATGAAAAAAATAGTAAACACTTTTTCACATGCTACTGGCTAGTCACACATCTTCTTTTGTGAAATGTGTGTTCAAATAATTTACCTGCTTTTTATTGGGTTGCTCATTCTATAATTGCATTGTAAGTGACCTTTATGTATTCTGAATCCAGGTCCTTTGTGTATATGTGATTTATAGATCTTTTCTCTTAATGTGCAGCTTGTGTTTTATTTTCTTAACAGTGTCTTTGAAAAACAAGTTTTCTTTACTTTTGACGAAAACTTAGAAGTTTCATGCTTTTTGTGTCCTGTTGAGAAATTTTTGCCTAACCCAAGGACACAAAGAATTTGTCCTCTGTTTTCCTTTAGAATTTTTGTAGTTTTAGGTTTTACATTTAGGTCTGTTATGCATCTCTTATTAAATTTTGTATATGATGTGAGGTGAGGGTTGATCATCTTTTTGGGGGATGATATGGATTTACAATTGTTCAACCATGGTTTTTTGGGAGACTATACTTTCTTTGTCCATTGAATTATTTCAGCACTTTTATTGAAAATCAACCAAATATATATGTGTGTGTGTGTGTGTGTGTGTGTGTGTGTGTGTGTGTGTGTGTGTGTGTGTATGTGTATGTATGTATTTCTGGACTATGTTCTGTTCCATTTAGCTATGCATCTACCCTTTTGCCAATACCAGACTTTATTGATTACTGTAGCTTTAGTAACAAATCTATTCAGAGCAGTTTTACGGCCATTATCTGATTTGAGCCTTCTAACCCTCAAAGCTAGAACTGCCAATAGTGTTAGCGAATAGAACTAGAAATAGTATTATATCCATTTTACAGATGAGTAAACAGATTCACAAAAAGGTTAACTGGCCCACCCAAGTTTACATAATTATTAGTAGTCCTGGCACTAAAACTCTCCCAAATCCTAGTTTATTGTTCTTTGCCTGTCCAACTAGCAAAAATAGTGAAGAGAGACTGAATTTCAAATCAGTGGTACACAGTGGTACATTTGGATATATTTTCTGAATAACAGATTTCTATATAAAGGCAGGGGGCTCAGCAAACTATTTAAGACAGTCTTAGTGATGCTGGGGTTCTTGTTTGTGGAGCCAAAGAATGAGCTTCACAGTCAAGGTAGGAGAGCAAGGTACAGGCTTTTATTTAGAGACCAAGTGAAAGGACAGAGCTCCCAGCTCATGCCAGGAGGGCACAAGAGAGTCCGTAGTGGTGCGTTGTCTAGGGGGTTTTATAGGCAGTTGAGGATTTTTTGAGAACATGAAAATAACTTAGGGGTGGGGACTTGTTAAGTGGTCCCTGAATATTAAAAATTAACTTAACTATAAGGAATTTCATGCCTTGATTTCTCTCTGGGACACCAGCATCTTGGTCTGGGAGCGTATCAAAAGGCTGCCTGCCCAGCCCCCAAGGTGGGCTGAGGTATTGTCTACTTGCTAAAGAATCTTGCCTCTTGAACTTCCTGGGTGTTAAAATGCAATCTTATCTTTAAGATGGAATTCTTCTTGCCATTAACTATGCTGTCTACAGCTGGGTCTGCTTGCTAAGTTGGTTGTTCAGTTTGCAAAATCACCTTGTCAGATCTGAAGGAGGAAAGACAGCACATAGGCCTGGGCCTTTTAGCATGCTAAAGTAAATCTTACACATGGTTACAAATGATTAGCATAATAAAACATGTGCTACTCTTCTTTATCTGGGAAACATTAACTGATCTCACTGAAGAATCATTCTAGAGCTCAATGTTAACATAGAGTTTTAGTAGGAGGGTTTCCTTGCATGTAGTTACATTGCTCTGATTGCAAATATCCCTCCCTGCCTCCTCCGGAGGCTCTCACCCTACTCTGCCTACATCCATGGTCCCTGTCTCTTTAGGAGTAATTTTAGTCCTTCATCAGACATTTTAGCTTTTTCAACATTTGAGTTTATGAACGGTACATTCAGCATTACTGCATCTGCTGCTGCTCTCTACTTGGGGTTAATTGGGTTTCTATTCTTAATCCTAATCCAAAATCTAATTAAATTTAATATAGAAGGAATCTTTCCAAGAAGGGAAATGTTTCTTGATTTTTCTGTTACTGGAATTTACTTGATTAGATTCTTAACATTGTTTTCTGTTAGTGATTTGCTTGAAAGGCAGCCATTGAGTAACAGGATAATTTCCTTCTGTGCTTTATATTCATTTATACTGCAATTTTATACTTATTGTCCCTCTAAATTGATTGATTTTTTTTAAAAATTTGCTTGTGTATTGAACATGTACAGTCCTAGGTTTCCATAGGGTAATTGCATTGTTTGATGTTTTGTCCTTTAGAGTGAAGAAGTCAGATTCATCAAAAATGAGCTAGAGATTCAAAAGCAAAAATACTTTAAACTTCAGATGTTTGTTAAAAGCTTGATACTAGCTATGAAAACTGATGATAAGGAACAACAGCAGGTAGGTAGCAGAAAAGAATAGTAAGCTGTAGTGGATCATGTAGAAAAATGACATGTCACATTTGTGTTCTTCATATTTATTTTTATACTTCATTCCTGCTTGGCATCAAGGAAAAATTTGTTACTTCATGACCTTTTCTTAGCACAGTTTTCTCAAGAATAGATATTCCGATTTTGTGTGCTGCTTTAGTGGAAAATGGAAGTAACTGATTAGCATACCTTGTTAGTTCCAAACTAGCTTTAGATTTTAAATCTGTTTAAAAATTAATTTTAAAGAAATTCTCAAAATGTTTGTAAAGACAGGGTTACCCTAACTGAACAGGCACATATTTTGGGGCCTTTTGTGAGTGAAAGTGAGGCATTTGCCTCTCTTCTGGATTCCAGTTACCTTCCAGCCCCCATTAAAGTTTGCAAATGTTTGAATACCTTCTCTTGTATGATCTGTTCCTCATCACTGAAAATGTATGAAATTACCTTGTAAAATTCTTTGTTACCACAGTGCATTATTTACTTTTCCCAATTCAACTAGAAGGTTTGATTCTTCTGCACCAAAGATGAAATGTAATGTCTTTTGTTTTTGCTGTGGATTTTTATTTACAAATTTCTCCCAAATTATATTTCCAGTCTCATTTTTTTCTTATAAAATCTGTGTAATATTTTATTGAGCTTGATAAAAAGAATTATAGAATTTTATTAAATATTCTGTTCAATACTACATGATACTAAATTTGCCCCTGAGTTGTATACTGCCATGTTGATTTCTTGTCAGAAAACTTCAATATGAGTTGTATGTCACATATGTCACCCTTAATCAGGAAGTAGTCTCAGAGGTTTTTATTCAACAAGGAGTCTCAAGAGTACAAAAATGTATCCCTTATATCCAAGCAAGGCTGCACATATGTAGTCCATCTCAGACACCTCCAGAGAAAAAGATTAGAGTCTTAGCATTCCACAACTCTCCCTGTTTTTTTAAGAGAATGTTTTCTTTATATATTTCACCAAAGTACTGAACCACAAAACTTAAACACGGTGTGTCTAGGTTCATGAAATTTGCTCCCCCCACCCCACTGCAGCATACACACAGACGTCCCATGGAGGTAGTCTTTAGTTACTTTTACCAGCTTTATTTAAGCATATTGTTTTATTTTGTGAGTTATGCATAATCCATGGCATATTGAAAATACATTCATTTTTTAGGATCCTAAACTGCATATTTTTAAATGAATAAGTAGGTAGTCTTGAGCATGTTCCCAAGGGTACTGTAAATTTTACATAACTAAAAAAATTATGTCCAACCACAGGAATAACTTGGAGTGTGGTTCTGGTCCCAAAAGTCATAGCATGGTTTAAGTTCAGAGTTATATGGCCAGCTAACTAGCAAATTTCTATGTCTCTTGATATCCAGGAACAGCACATAGACTGCATTTTGTTTTCTAATTCTAACCTCATCCCTGGCTTGATTCTTTCCCCAAGACCATTAACAAATATTAAAAATAACTATTGTACACATTTTCTCTATGTACAATAACTATATGTACATACATATAAAATATAAAATATAAAATAACTATATGTACATATATATAAAATATAAAATATAAAATAACTATATGTACATATATATAAAATATAAAATATAAAATAACTATATGTACATATATATAAAATATAAAATATAAAAAGTAACTATATGTACATATTGTACATACTTTTCTCCTCTTATGCTTTTCCTCTAATAAAAGACTGCTGAACTAAGATATGGACAAGACATTGGTTGAAAAAAAGAAAGTTATACAAAAATTGTACTGAAATTCGTAGCTTATACAGTCAGCACTCAAATAGAAACTATGGATTTTCACAGTTGAGATCAAGTACAATGGATTTCAAAATATAGAAAACACCAATAGTAGTTCATAAACATTATCCAGGTGATCTCTTAAATTATTGATATTTACACTATGACATACTTAGAAGCTTATTTCTGGAAGGAATTAATTTTTGGTCTACTGAATAAGAGAGAACCATTGTGTCACTGGTTTCTCATTAAAAGAAAATCCTAAGTGATCTTTTCATTAATCTTGATTAGGGTAAATTTTGTGAGATGAATAGTCCACAGAACATTTTTCCCCAATGAAGCAGTCTGGGCTTTAAAAATACATGATACTGAATGAAATATTAGATTACCAAAAGGTTTTTTTAAATTAATAGCCATTTTAAAATAAACTTAATGTTGCCAGCACTCCACTAAGTCATTAGTTATGGTGTTTCTTCCCCTGAGAATTCCCATGTGATCCTAACCTGGGCAATTGCCTTTCTTGAGCTTCAATTTCTCCACTTTGCAAGGAAGGTAAGAATGGCTAACATTATGGAACTTGACATTCACACCATAAGACCTAGAATAAGGGTTATAGAAATTGATGATATATTTGGTAAGTGCTTTAATCTCTTGGGAAGAGTAGCAGTAGTTCAGACTCTGAAGATAGACTGATAAGGAACCTGTAGTAAAGAAAGTTAATTGTGTGTAGTTTAGTATCTATGAAAAAGAAGGTTCTAGCAATTGGAATAATCCAAGTATTTGTTCTGTGTGCCAATATTGCAGTACAGTAAGATATTGAAAATAAGAATTTTTCAGTGTACCTCATGCATTGTTAGTGCTCCATACTGCCTCAGATATTTTCCTATTTCCTACTACCTTCATTTTAGTCAGTCAGCTACATGAAAAGCAATGACAAAGAAATAAATAGTGCTTCTTTGATTTGAAGGTCTCTTCACTAGAATTTAAAATGTCATTAAGTCTGTTTATCCACTTAACCTTCTAATACTCTAAGACAGTGACTGTTAGTTGGAACACTTTGCCCTATTTAATATGGCATCTTCACAATTGAAAAGTGAACTAAATCCAGTGATGTATATCTGTTAACTCTGATCAGCTTGTGTTAGCAAAGGCTTTGTTTCACCTGGACTGGGTTAGTGGTAAACAACTGTTCTAGAAAAAAATGGCCCTGTGTCCTAGTACTGCAACCTATCACCTTAGAAAGCATGTAGTACCTTTAGGTAACTGCTTTGTAAATATTCTCAATTTCAGCAAGAAGTTCATGAACTATTCAAGAGTATAAAATAAACAACTTTTCTCTCAGATAAGAGTTTGCCTTGCCTCTTCTATAGGACATAAAGTATAGGACTTATAGCTGTTGCTTCCTTCAATAAAGAGAATATGAGAATACTGTCTTATTCCAATTGTGGATTTCATATGTTCTCTAACATACCCAGTCTTTCTGTTACTTATTAGGTAGTGACAAGCTTGCATTTATTCCTGTTACCTTGGTTCTTGTTTACCACTGCACCTAAGGCACACACTACAAGTAATGCTACCTAAAAATTGTCCGGATACGCTTCCATTATATTTAGTATTGGGAACAGCAAGTCAATCATTTGGTTCACAATTTCTTATGGTCAGGTGATCATGAGCACTGTCAGCACATATAATTTTATTCATCATTTAGTTCTCTATTCTGGATGCATGTTCTGCAACTCCAGATGAAACAATTACATCATGGTAAAGTTTGATTCATGGCTCTTGGCTCATCCTAATTACTCCAGCAGAGAAATGAACAGCAATCTAGATACATCATTACACACCTAGATTCACTGGTTTGGCCATGTCCTAGTGGGTGCTTGGCCATCTGTAGATATGGGCATAGCCTAAGGAAAAAAATGTCACTTGGACTTTCCAAGAAGTTAAGGTTTAGTTTGAAGTAAAATAGCTGAACTTCTTTCCTGACTGTTAAGTTCTTTTTCCCACTGAAGTACAAAATAGTCTTCTGTACAATGTGCTTTTCTCTAAAGGACAGCTTAACTGGGCAAGAATATTTTAGAAGGAATATAATTTAAAAGTCCTCTAGCAGTGATCAGTGATTACTCGAAATTAGTATGAAAATCATTTATCTCAAATACTTCAAAGCACATGGTACAGAATAGTTACTCATTTCCCTCCTTTTGTCCAGGGTTTCACTCTATATAATCTGCATGTAAGATATTATATAAGGTACTGAAAGAAAAGTGTTCCTTTCTTTACATCCTTAAGAATAAATCAACATGAGAGGACCACAACTATTAGCACAAAATTGGCAAAAATTTGTCCACATACTAACTTAAAAAATTGATTTTTCTGACTCAGGCACTGCTGTCAGATTTACCTCCTGAATTAGAAGAGATGGATTTCAATCATACCTTGCCGGAACCTGATGATACCTCATTCAGTGTGTCTTCTTTATCAGAGAAAAATGCCTCAGACAGTTTGTGATTTGAAAGGGGTAATATGATACAGCCTTTTGGCTGCCCTAGCAGGTGTGCATTTCAAGATAACTGCATTCTGTTACCCCAGAATTCTTCAGCTGGAAAAACATATTGTTGAAACCAACATATTCTGTGAAGGATGAACAAGATATAATGGCTATAGTGCAAAAGATGTATGTGAAATGTAAGAGCATTGTTTGAAAGTTTTTTCCAAAATGCTGGAACTCTGGGAAAAAATGTATTAAATTGAGCAGTCTAGCTATGTAATGCATAATGTCTAATTCTGAAAGATTTTTGTTTGGTTTTGTAGAAGAACCTTAGTTTTAGTAATAGTTTTGACCAGACACATTAAAATAAAGTATTCCAACATTGCTTATCAAGTTACTGAAGTTTGATTAGTCCTGTTTTGGTAGCCATTATATCTTCTTTCTACATATCTTGATTTCCTATCATTCACATACACTTTTATTCAGGAAAATGGACTGAAAATTGAAAACAAAACTTTAAAAATGATTTAACCAGGATGGGTCTTGGGACCTCTATGAAAATTTGACTTAAGCTAATGATTGAAAATTGGAGTGAATACTGGTACATAATTGTAAATTGTTGGTATTCTTCCATTACCTAATCCAGTATTTGGTGGGAGGGGGGAAAGCACTCTGGAAAAGTAATTTACAAACATGATGTCAAATAATTGTTAAGTGTACAAAAATAAAATGTTGTAAAAGGTTAGTTTTAATGGGAATTCTCCATTGCTGCAAATGACAGATATTGATAAGATTCACATTATACTAGTAAATTTGTGTAACTGAGTTAGAGGAAATGTTGCACAAATATTACAAGTTTATCATTATCTTCATAATATTTTTTCAGTTCTTGCATTTTATGAAATAGGAAGTCAAGGTAAGTTATGGCCCCTTTTTTTATCTAGTCACTCAGCTTTGCCACAAAATTTACCTCATTTTCATGTAAGGCTTGTACAGAGCCATCAGCGAAGGATAATATCCAAAAAGAGATATACTACTTTGGTCATAGATCACAGTGCTCTAAATTTCCTGGATACTATTCTATGAGTACACTCCTAAAATGGGCATGCTACCCAGTTATTCTAGTAAGTACCAGATGGCAACACACTGTAGACAATTGTTTGCAGACATTTCCCTTCTGGGGTACCAGATAGCATTACCAAAACTCATAAAAGGAAAAATACCTGTTTCTCTCTAAGTACACAGTATCATATATTTATGAATTGGCAGGGTGGAATTGTGTTGTATGGTTAAATTATTGTCTATACCCAAAAGATTAATGAAGTAGCTAGATAGCTCTTTTGGCCATCAAGTTTCTATGTCAGATATTTTTATTATTTGTAAGTAAAACCAATTTTGACTTTGGAATTCACAGATACCAACTTACAAATGCAGAAAGGCAATCATGAATGTCTTTGACCTTGAAATGTCCCCCCACCCACAAATAGGTAAGTTCATTGAAAATCCTTCATTTTGTCAGCTATTTGTTCGATTTAATATTGCTGCCATGCTACTGCTATGGTTCTTTTGTTATCAGAAATATTTCAGTCATTAGGTACTCTCCTTTTTAGCTAAAAGCCATATGGTTCTTCACAAAGAATGTTTAGTGCTCCTTGCTGACACATCAAATTCCATTCAGAGAAAAGAGTAACAGAATCTCAGAGATTAAGATTAAATTGATCAGTCACTCCAATTCCTCCATGAGATACAAAGTCCCTACTATACTATATACAGCAAATATAGGAACCATTTCTTAATGTAGCATGAACAAATTTCAGGCTTTCAAGTATCTCCTGGGATCTCCTTTCTAGTCATTGAGTTTATCTTTAAGCTGTATTTTTTTCTGCTTCAATTTAAGCCCCTTTTTATCTGGTTCCTGTTACAAAATAACGTTAGATGAGTCTTTCCTGTATCTTTCAACTCTATGGATTGTATTTGTCACACCTCAGCAATCATTCAGTAAATCAAAGAATATTTGTTGAGCTCCTACTATAGAGACATTGGATTTTGACTCCTCAGTAAGCCATAAACTTCAAAGCAAATTATTTCTTTTCACTTTTTCAGGGATATTAATACAAATGTATAAGTAGAAATTTTAGTAGATTTAAGTATTCTTCTAGGTATGATTCCTCAAAGGAATCCTAGTGTACAATTTTGAGAGGAAACACAGATGATTCCCATTCCCTGTTTAAAGTTCCATTAAAATAGATACTGTATAAATCATAACTGTACTGTCATTGGAATTAAAACATTTCTAAAATGAAATGTGGTTTTTCTGTAGCAGGAACCAAAGGAAATAACTATGTCCAGAAAAAAAAATCATAATTGGCAGAATGAGATTATAAGCCATGAATTTGTTTAAAAGATGTGAAGGTCAAGTGTTAAAAATATACTATAGGGAAAATGTATTTTTCACACACAGAGGTTGGAAGTGGTTTTGAGGCATTTCAAACAGGAAAAAATCAGTTGGTGACTACTTTTGTTACATCTTCATGACTGAGAGTAGAAAAACTAGTGTTTCTTTTGTGCTTTATTATTAAATGTATAATAATATTGAAACACACAATATTAAAACAAACCATACTATCTAAAGCATCTTCTCCCAAAAACAAATACCAATGGGAAAAAAAACATTTTCTTTCTTTTACCTACACTTAGGTGTCTGCTTTCAGCTTAGTACAGCCAACCAGTTTCTAAGCAGGAAATGTGTATCTAAGAGCACTTACCTTCTGAAATGTATATTTTAAAAAAAACAAATATTGGAAGTTACCTTCCTTATTTCAGCCAGGCTAAAATTAGTCACTAGAATATGAGAACTACAGTTTCCCTGGAGAATAGGAAAATTAGCACATGCAAGAAAAACATTAGAACAAAATTGGCCTCTTCATGGAACCTAGGGATGTTTTGTTGTAAGGTCAGTTATCAACAGCAGGACTTTTGTACTATCATTGCTATCATGTGATAGAAATGTTGTTGTAGGGGAAGAAAAGGCTGCAGCCTACTCACATCCTGTGCTTTGTATGTTACCAAGATTTCAAAACATATCCAAGAGGCCATTCTCAAAAGGCAATATCTATTTTAAAGCACTTTCATAGTCAACAGTCTTTAAGTTTGAGTAGAAAATATAAGTGGTGTACTTAAAATAATTACAGACTCTAAGATTGACTTTGTTGCCTTTTTTTGAAAGAAGGGAACATTCAGCCCATTTCCAAGGAATCCTTATCTACCCTGATAGCTTACGATAATTTTTCATAGAAACTATAAACTTTATCTCCTGTCCTTTCTCCACACTGCAATGATGGTATACCAAGAATATTGTCTATTCTTCAAAATATATTAGATTTTCATTCAGATCCTAAAAAATGCCAAATTCTAATATATTAGCCTTTTAAGAGAATTATCAGTACTATAGTGTTTAAATGATGAGTAAATGGGTTATCTTGAAGTTGTTATCCTTGGCAGGCATCACTGTATCATGCTCTTCATGAAGCTATGCTCTGTGATGATATAATGAAGAAGCCTATTAACTTGTTAGCCTACCGTGAATATACCAGTGCCCAAAACACACCTTTGTTAAGAGCAGATTTGCTAAGGAAGAAAGGAGAATAAAGTGATTTTTTCACAGAAATATAATTACAATTGTTCCTTTTAAAGTGTATACTGAATATATATATTGCTCCAACATTGAAATTTCATTTTGCATTAACTTGTTAATAATTCCTTTTAGCAATCTTCCATCTCATTTTACTGGTACTACCTCTGAAACATACTGTCACCTTAAAAATCACATCAGGTTGTAATGTGAACTTTTGTAGGGATTTTATTTAAACTTTTATAGAGGCAATAAATGGTTTCTGACTAATAGACATTCATTGCTTTCTTTTAATGTGTATTGTTCCAAGTCTTTGTGTTGTAAGCATTGACCCCCTTTTAAAGACAACTTTTTCCTCCCAAAAATAAGGTTCTGATGAAAAGACCAAAAAAATTGCAGAGAGTAAGGTACTGGGGGTCGTGGAATGCACAACTGGAAATTTGGTTGACTTCCAAGCTGACAGGTGTATCATCTTTAATTGACATTACCTAACAAACAAGTGCTCCAACACCAATGGAATAGATGGAATGTTTTGTAAGAGATAACAGATTTGCCCATGATAGTGTATTTAAATGATAAAAACAGCAAGTAAATTGCCATAATTGTAAATTAGTTCAACCATTGTGGAAAGCAGTATGGAGGTTCCTCAAAAAGCTCAAAATAGAAATACCATTTGACCCAGGAATTCCATTTCTAGGAATTTACCCTAAGAATGCAGCAGCCCAGTTTGAAAAAGACATATGCACCCCTATGTTTATCGTAGCACTATTTACAATAGCCAAGAAATGGAAGCAATCTAAGTGTCCATCAGTAGATGAATGGACAAAGAAGATGTGGTACATATACACAATGGAATATTATTCGGCCATAAGAAGAAAACAAATCCTACCATTTGCAATAAACAAATAATGCTATTTTTATGACAGATTTCTTTTTAAGTGGCAGTGACCATCTAACTTCTGGCTGTCTTTGACACCAGCTGAGCATGGTTTTAATCTGGATGAAATGTATCCATGCCTTCTTTGTCAAAGTCTTATACCAGTTAAAACTTTATGTTACCTAACTAATGTGGGAGGGCAAGGGGTGAGTTTCAAATAGCACATCAGCAGTTTTCCTTCCCAGTTGATAAATTTTCAAAAGTGTTACAAGGAAAAATATCATATATAAACATGTACTTCAGATGATCCAAGTGTTTCTCAGATCTGCAAAAACATTGACTTTAGGTGGTAAAATTTTTTGATTTTATAAAAATAAGTGGAAATCATTATGTGTTTAAAAGATAAGCATTTAAAAGACAAATACGTCCATAAGATTGAATGTTTTTCACATCCTTTCAGACTAGTTTTTTATATTTTTGTTTCTATCATATTATAAAATGGATGTTCATTGTAGACTTTTTAGAAAATGTAGATAATAAAGAAAAACTATTTAATCCCACCATCCAAAAATAATAATTTTTAGTATATCTAGTATAACATCTTAGTATGTTTAATTCCAGTAGTTTCTTTTGAATATTACATATATTCAGCAAACTAGAATTATACTGAATATGCAGTTATGTGTTATGCTTTTATTTCTAACAATGTATTGAGAGCCTTTTCCCATGCAACCAGTTGTCACTAAAGTATTTTACTCTCAATTACATTTAGACCTAAAGGGGAATTTTTTAAATTATGTAATATAAAAGCAAACCTTCTACTGATGAAAGCACATTTGTTCTATAGAATTAATAATTAGCTGCTTTACATGAAAAGAACTCTTCTTACCTTAGATTTAAAACAAATCATGCTACTTATTTACCTTCACAATAATAAAGTTATTATACTTTGGCTGCTAG